GGCCCAAAGGCCCATCAAGATGTAATGGGCCCAATATGGCTGCCATCATATATTCATCAACAACCAGAAAACAAAACTCACATATCACTTGACTCACAACTTCGGTAGACTTCCGAGCATCGGAGCTCCGCGACTACGGGCAGCACCGTTTTCCTACCTTATCGCCGGCTGATCTGTTCGTACTTTTTGACGAATCCAAGAGATCTTTTTTCTTGGTAGGCTTCAGCTTCGCGATCAATACGTGCATAACCCTAATTCTTCCTCATTTTTTGTTTATTAATCCTTAAACTAGCGGTTCGATTTTGTTTTTCCCCTTCCATTTTTGATGATCTCCTGCAAATGCTTCGTTTGTGAACTTTCTGTGTGTGTATTTTTTTCCCCATGTAGACTTATATAGGTGTTGCAGCTTTCGCATCCTGGGGTTGTGAGGGTTGTTTTTCCATTCCAGTTTGTTGTTTAGATTACATTCTAACTCTTACTATTTTCAGGAGCTTCTGGGCTCCTTCGATACAATGACTCGAGTTTACATTGGCAATCTGGATCCACGTGTTACGGAGAGGGAGCTTGAAGATGAATTTCGAATGTTCGGTGTTCTGAGGAGGTGATTTGAGTTTGAAATTATTGTATCGAGGCATTCTTTTCATGTATTTCTTAAACTAGCATATTTTAGACGCATGATATGATATCTACCGAATGGTTCGAAATGTGGAATTTTAAGCTCCTGGGTTCTTTCAGTGGCAGTGTGTTGGGTTCTTTCAGTATATGCCCTAGATTTTTTACAGCACATAAATATCTATCCATCCCGTTATACCTAGCCGAAGCTAGATATTTCAGCACTCTGCAGGGGAAGAAAAAAGAAACAGAACAGAAAAAACCCTTCCATAGCAATGAGTGCTCGCTAGTTGGACTCTGCTTCATGCATAAGTCCATATCTTCCTTATCGTTAACTTTTTGTTTAAGAACTGAACCCAATGCACAGACTCTCTTAGATATGTCCTCTGACGTTTTCTGATGTCTATCCTTGAGATTAGTTGGCTCAATGTGCATGGCTCATATCTCAAACTCATTTGTACCTCGACCAAAAGCCAGAGTAGTATTTCTGTGGTCTAGATTTTGCTTCAAGGACGTTTATGCCTCAATTGCATATCAGTTATTAAGATGAGATCGCTTACACCATGCATCCTCCATTTGCAATAATTTGAAACAATATATCTATTTCTTTGTTCCTTTGTATTAAAATGCATTCTGAATATTTGTCTTTGAACAAAACAATACAGTGTTTGGGTTGCTAGAAGGCCTCCAGGATATGCATTTATTGAGTTTGATGATCGCAGGGATGCTTTAGATGCAATACAAGCATTGGATGGTCAGTTTTAAATAAAAGATCTTTTTTTTTTTTTTTTTGTCTTGTAGGTATCAAATTTTGCATTGCATTACATTCCTTCTATAAAATGTTATTTTCTTTTGTATATGTGTGTGCGCGCATGCTTTTCTCGACTACTAGTGAGTTTGACATGTGCGGGAGCACTCTCCTTGGCTTTATCTGTAATCTAGTTTTCATTACTGCAGTCAATCAGAAATTTATTATTGATCTAGCTTAATGTCATCTTTGGTCTGCTAAATTGAACTAAATCGTGGAAATTTACCTTATTCTTTAAGACCACCTTATTGAAAAAGAGGGTAATGAATGGCCCTATCCTCTTTAATATGCTTCAAAAGATGTGATTTTGGGAATTATCATGATTCTAAGATATAGAAACTTTTGAGGGCTATGGAAGCCATTTTTATCAACCAGTTGATTCTATCTTGAACCAGCATCTAATCTCTTTGGCTGTGGAAGGCTAAAGTGCCTAAGAAGACTTAACAGCTTCAGTCTTCATGTGGAGTTTATTCCATAATGAGCTAAATACTTGCAATAAGCGTTAACACCACTTCCATGCTCCTAGCCTCTCATCTAGCTCCTATTGTGCATTATATGCAAGCATGATGAAGAGAATCAATTTAATCTCTTTTTCTAGACGTTCAGCTCCCTTTTTTCAAAAAAAATTTCCCATAAATTGTTCACTGTTTTTGGCATCTCTTGGTGCTTGCCCAAGTGTCACAAGTTGGTAGTCTAGTCTTACAACTCCGTTGTGATCATCCTTTCATAGGTAAAATAAAGAGCTGTGGAATAATTCAGATATTTCCATGTAATGGATAATGGTTTGAGAGAAGTCAAATGAATTTTCATGATGCTTTCTCTATGGTGGTCTTGTTGGACCTTGTGAGCTTTTTTCCTATATGGTGCCCTAGATCAATATTTTTCTTTGCAATTAAAGTCTATCCTTAATCCGGGATCCTTTTCTATAAATTCCCAGGGCTAATAGGTTGATTCCTTATCCCCCTATTCTTAGTTTCATTGCCTTGAGTTAAGTTCATCTTATCTTTTATGTGTGATTTTATTGGTTTCTTTTCATAGGGAAAAATGGTTGGCGTGTGGAGCTTTCTCACAACTCTAAAGGCGGTGGAGGAGGTGGTGGTCGTCGTGGCCGTGGTGGTGGTGGTGGTGGTGGTGGTGGTGATGATTTGAAATGTTATGAATGTGGTGAACCTGGTCATTTTGCTCGTGAGTGTCGTTCACGTGGGGGCTCACGAGGTGCAGGAGGTGGTTTGCGCCGTAGTCCTTCTCCTCGGCGCCGCAGGAGTCCAAGCTATGAAAGATATGGTCGCAGGTGTGTCAAAGCTGTGTGTGTGTGTGTTTTTTTAAAACACACCAAGTTATCTAATAGATGTCAATTCAACAGGTGGTTTGGTTTCATATAAACTGAAGAATTTGATGTTCTATCACTTTTCCTTTTTCTTGTGTAGGAGTAACAGTCCTCGTGGTAAAAGATCCCCACCAAGACGTCGCAGCATTACACCTCCTAAGCGTGGTCGCAGCTACAGCAGATCCCCTCCACCCCGACATGCTCGTCGTGCTTCACCTTATGCTAATGGGTATGCCTTCTTAGTCATGAGAACTATTCACTACAACTATTTAGTTAGTGAAAGGCGAGGGAACTTAATTGCCTTGCATAGGTTGTTTTGTGCACATGGGCCTTGGGTAATCATTGTAGTGCAGTAGAACAAGGTTGTCTTGAACGGCACTGATGATTTTGAAGATTCCAGGCCGTCACTAGTATTCTCTCCCTTGACTAACTAGGAATTTCTTAATTGTTTTACCCCCTCCTGGCCTATGTTTGCTTTAAATGATCCTCTACAAATTCTTGTCAATACGTACTTGACTGAGCTACATATTTCGTAACTTATACTTTTAGATTACAAGTACATCGATCTGATAGTTGCATGTTAATCATTATTGCAGAGATTGATGTTGTTGGAATCAAGGCTGGATGCTGTGCTGGTAGAACTTAGATGATGGTGTTTCTGCTATGCTGTAGTTCTAATAGGAATTGTGGAGTGAACCAGAATCATGTAGTTAAGTTCGTCTCTGACAATTGGTTCTCTTTGAAACCTGGATTTGGATGGGTGTCTACGAAGTGTTTTGAGCCACAAAATGGGGTTCGGTCGGGCACCATTTTGTGTTGGCTCCCTTCTGCCCGCTGAAACTCGGAGGTCTCTTTCTTGCTTTTAAAATTATATCTACTACCTAGAGTTTTATATATATATATATATACCTTCCTATCTATTCATCAATATTTCTTTTTCATTGGATGCCCCTAAAGATCTATCTGTTGGCTGTTTTTTCCTCTTATGTTTTTGAGGTGTGATTTTCGGCTGTATATGGCATCGTTACTCAGCTAACTGCATCTTAGTGCATCACGGTTCTCAATATCTGCTCTGCTCCTCAATCATCTTCTTGTTACTACAACTGGTTGCATGCTGTTTGTATTGCACTCAAGGCTGCCCATATAGTGTTAATCCTTTTTAGGTGGTTGAAGAAGATGAAGCTGTTTTTATGCGATTTTTCTGCTCATCATCTTCTCGTCTATCAACGCTTTTCGAGCTTCTTCTATTACACATCTGCAAAACTATTGTGAGAGTTTTATAACATCGGCATCTTGTGAGCTTCAACTTGTTTATTTCTCTCCCCAACTACTGCCTTGCCTTGCTCCACCAACCTTCCCTCTTTCACCATTATGCTTCCTTAAATACTACTTCTCCTTAAGTGAGGCAGCTACTTTCTTGGTCATGGCTCATTAGTTTGTGTGTATTAGCTAGCTAGGGTCAAGGATGTTGGAAATTTGAATGCTTATATATATTCCCACTCTTTGATGTTTGTTGTTTGTTCTTTGCATAGGGAAATACGCTTAAGGCCCTCCCAATTTCAATTAAGGAAACTTCATTAATCGATTTTATTGTGAGGATGTTTATCCTCGATTCTCAACAAATAATTTTCAGAGGTATCTTTCCTAATTATGAATTTTGGTGTTAATCTTTATCCAACGGTGAAAATGCAACACTTTTATAACCAAAGCAGACGTGAAATGCAGAATTTTTTTAAATTAATTTTTGGATTTCATGGTTTATGTTTCCATTCAATCTTGTGTATCTTATTTAATGCATAATACAGGAAAAGACAACGGGTAATAGTTCGAAGCCATCGTTAAAAGATCATTATATATTGCCGTGTTAGTCTCATAAAGGTTTTCACACACTTATAAAAAAAATGTTTTGTTTTCTCTAATAATCATTGTAGGACCACACAATCCATTTCTTTGGGGCCAATGTCCTTGCTGGGTACATCCTGGGGGCTGCAATCTTCAAATTTTTATAAGTGTTTCACCTCTCCAACTGATATTGGACCTCACAATCCATCTCTTGAGGGCTAATGTACTCTATAGCACACTGTCCAATGTCTGACTCTCATTATTGGTATACTGTCCAATGTCTGACTCTCATTATTGGCATACTGTCCAATGTTTGACTCATACCAGATCTACTCTCCCTAGTAGACGCGTTTTATAATTGTGAAGCTGATGATAATACGTAAGATACTGGAGCAGACAAATATTGCTATCGCTTCACGAAGGCTAAATATATTTATTTAGCATATTTATTTATAGAACCTAGAACACCAGATGCCACTTTTCAATGAAAAAGGACGGGGAAAATTTTGGGGGAAAACAAAAGCTATTTCTACTACTCATTTTAAGTCTCCACTTATTACATTGGCACACTCCAAGACCGCCAATTCCTGCTTCTTCAACGCTGTGGGGGAAACCTTTTTCATTTTGCTTTTGAATCGATGATCTTCTTCGCAAAAGAAGGCAAACAGAAAGCTGCTGTATGAATCTGAAGATTTTCAAACAAAACATCAAGGAAAATACAGAAGTTTCAGTTCAAGTCAAATGGAAAGTACACCAATGGGATATATAAGAAACATTCAAATCCCACCTCCGAGTTGTAAAACTTGAGCGGACTCTTCACGGTGTCGATACCGTTCACCTCTACTGGGTTGACTGGATGCTTGAAATCAAGAGGAGGCCCCTCAGTTGAGCAGAGCATAAACCCAATCACTCCGCTGAAGACACACGGATCAGATCGATGTTTAGAAAAGGCAACGTTCAAGACCCACAAGATCAGGAACATTGTTAGGAGGTGTGTGTACCTTGGATATGTAGGAACTGTAGTCCATGCATAGTTGACAGAGCCTTTGAATATTTGGCGGCAGTTTGTCACAATGTCTTCAATGATATGCATGTGAAGCCAAATGCTCTCTGCTTGAGTACACACAACACCTCCTGGTCGAAGAGCTTTGGCAACTGAAGCAAAGAAAGGCTTCTCAAAGAGCTCTTGTGCTGGACCTGTAAGATGACAAATGATCTTCATTTACCTCAAAAAACATCCAACATAAAATTCCATGTTCCTCTTGAAGACATATGATTACCAATAGGATCAGAAGAATCCACTATCACTGCATCATAAGTGCCTTCAGGAACAGCCTTCAGAAATGCGACGCCTGCAACACGAAGCACGCCGATGAACACAATCGAGAAATCAAACAGAAAGAGGGGTTGAGAAAATGGTTGATTGTATACCATCACCAATGTGAAGAGTGACACGAGGATCCTCAAACCCGACAGCTACGCGAGGGAAAAATTCTTTGGAAACCTGCAAAGGAAGATGCAGGCAATAGTACTCCATCATAAATCGGAAAAGGTTCCTCACATTTGTCATGAACATATGAGCACCATACGTATCAATCATATAAAGTTGAACTGATGCTCCTGGAAAGTTATTGGTTACCTCAACTACCATCTTGTCGATTTCACAGATATCTATCTGCTCAACAGATGAATGGCGAGCCACCTCTCGCAAAACACCGCCATCTCCTCCACCGATAACGAGAACCTAATAACAGCAATTGAGTGAGACAACAATGAAACAAAAAGAATAATCCTAAGCACATGTGACAGCATCTGAGCAAATTTGAGCAGGCCCGATTTGGCTGGGTCGGGAAGAGATTCATATAGAAAAATTTCCCTAGAAATCATTGTCATAAGCTCGAACAAGTAAAAATGGTAACACAGACAGTTGTAAGCATTGTACAAAAAAGACAATGTTAAAACATAGCCAACATAAACACAACTCAACTGTTAAGGCACACTTACTCCCCTACCCAACTGGTCCGAATTCCAACCCGACCCCCACCCACCAATTTCCCTAAAAATCATTATCACAAGCTCGAACAAGTAAAAATGGCAGCACAGACAATTCTAAGCATCGTACAAAAAAGACGATGCTAAAACATAGCCAACATAAACACAACTCAACCGTTTAAGGCGCGCTTACTCCCCTACCCAATCGGTCTGAATCCCAACCCGACTTCACATGTCATGAAATATTTAAAAGAACATCTATAACAAATACTTAACTTTTTGAATGAAACTTAGCTAGAATATGATTAAATATCAACAAAAAGGTCACTGGCATGCCCTGCTTCTCATTTAGTTTCTTAAGAATTAGAGGTATCATCACAAAACGTATGACTCCAGATACAAATTCCAATGCATTTTCAAAATACAACGCTGATAGACAAACCTTTTTGGGGTTTGGAATTGAGCAAAGTGGAAGGTGGGTGATCATCTCTTGGTAAGCACATTCATCTCTCTCTGTAAGCTGAATCACCCCATCCAAAACCAGAACCTTCCCATAAGTTGATGACTGCAGGGCACATAAACCAAAACTTCAATATATCAGCCAAACTAGGTTAAAATTCACAGAGAAAAACAATATATCATACAGTTCATCCGCATATATGAATACCTGAAATACCAAAACGTTCTGGTAATCAGACTTCCCTTGAAACAAAACCTTCTCCACCTTCAAGGAATGGGCCTCTCCTGCATGACATAAAAATCATTTGATTTTCTCAACGAAATTAGAAAGAATCGAAGAACAAATAGGATTGAATCATATTGTTCATCTTCATCGGCTAACAAATCTCAAATCTATGTGATTAGAGACGAAAATCTCACCAGGCCACAATGGGCTAATTTCAGAAAACCATCCAGGAATTACAGAGGAAATAGAATCGGGCTGTGAGGCGGATACTCCATTCTCAATCTCAGGTTTCTTCGCCGCCGCATCGGCCGCCGACCCAACGAAATGTTCCGCAGACATAATAATCCCTCTACTATCGACTCGCTAAAATCCCAAATCCCAAATCCCAAATCCCAATACAGTCTCAAGAGGGGAGTGCTTCTCTATGACCCGTTGGATATGAGCACTGATCAAACTCACCCAGTTCTTCCTCCATTTATATAATTGTAAAGGGTCCGTGAAAGGCTTCGCTTTTGAAGGAATCAAATTACGGTTTCCTCTCTTTGATCTTTATTTTTTTCTTACTGTCCTCGATTTATGTTTTTTTTTCATCTCGTTCTTTCATGTTTTTGTATAGGTTCGATTTTTCCATAAACTTCCAAATACTATAGTGTAGTTTTGACCATAAACTTGAAAATTGAGAAGCATGTGATAGAGAGAGGACAAAATATAACCCAGTAACATGATCATGTTGTAAGGGGATTTCAGGGCCATAGAGCATTACAATTTGAATCTTAGGTTAATATCTTATATCTTCAACTAAAATGACAAATGTTGGGTAGCTTTTCTTCCCCTCGTAGGGTTGAGGATATCACTAAAAACAGTGCAGAGTGCAACAACATTGGATAGCTATACAAAACAAAATTTATGACATATGAATAGACGAGCAGACGTGGGGCTACGAGATTGGTCTTGACATGTAATTGACTTGCAAAAGCAAAAAGCATTATGGTGGCAAAGATTATTCCTCAGGTGGCTCGAAAGAAATCCGATTAAACAATTATGATGGATGATAATGAAGATTTGAATTTATAATCCAAATTAGTTAAGAGATGTAAATATTTGATGGTACCATTTTTTCTTCAAATCATTCACTTTATTTATTTATTATTATTATTTTTTTTTGTTGACATATTTAATAAATTTATTTTTATTATTTGTCTTTATTATAACACGAAAGCGAATTTCAATTTCCAAGACTTTTGAGCAGAGGATTATATTCTTAGCCTCCGTCCACACACTCAATCTCGCTCTGTTTAATACAAATATATTTTTAATATATATATTAAAAAAATAAACTTAATTGTAAATGAAATATAATGATTTTTTTTACTATTTTTTTTTAAGGAAAGGTGGTATTGAAAAATGAAAACTTTACATTTAACTATTTTTCTAAAAGAATAATAAACGAAAAAAAATATTCGCCGGAACTCGATTCCTACAAAAATAAATGAAATGAAATAAGTAGTGGGGATGGGGATGGAGATGGAGGAAGGCTTCCCGGTCCCCGCCCCATTCCATGATCATAAAAAATAAGCTGAGACAAAAAGGAAAAGAAAGAAAAACCCACTTAAAATTTATCCAAAATTGCGAACGTTTAAGACAACTCAGTCTATTCGGTACCGTTTGAGTTAAATTATGAATTTATTTGAATTGAGTTAGGTTCAAATAAATAAAAACTTTATGAGTTAGAGTAGTTAGTTGATTAGGTGTAACAGAATCAACCAAGTTTATTGTTAGTGTTAAAAAATATATTTTGCTTATGGTATAATTATATATGCATATATTTAAATTTATTATTTATTCTTCCATCCATTAAGAAAATAATTTTTAATTATTTAGAAATTAAAATTTTAAAATATATGAATTTGTTGGATGATGAAAGTCCCACATCGACTAATTTAGGGAATGATCATGGGTTTATAAGTGAGAAATACTAACTCTATTGGTATGAGGCTTTTTGGGGAAGCCCAAAGCAAAACTATGAAAGCTTATGTTCATACATTTTAAAAGTATCTTTTGAGATCCTTGAAGACCTGTAAGATAGCCGAAAAATAATTAGCAAACAATGAATGAAGAAATACTAAGTCGTTCCGCATATCATTGTGGAGAGTCATGTTCGTCTAACAGGATTCAATTTAAGTGATATTAACTACCATTTTATTTTTATTAAAAATAAAAATTTGGATTGAAAAAATTTGACGACCCAATTCACCTCAGTTACAACAGTTACAACCCAATTCATCTCATGCAAACTACATACTTGGTGTACGATTCACCATAAATTTTAATCATTAAAAATGATCCTGCAACGACCCGACTTCTCATACACATAACGGTTAGAGCTGTTGCCTCACTTCTCGTACACTTTCTTTTAAGTCTACCATTTGAAAAGCCAAATATTTGAGAAATGGATAAGTATAACTAAATTAATTAAAATATAAATTATCGAATAAAAAAAAAAGAAATCATTAGAAAATACCAAACAAATCGAGATCGATGGGTCGAGGAGCGTAGTGTTAAGCTGGGCCTCGTAGGCCCGTAGTTCATTATTATTTGGGCTTAATTATTGATTTTGGACTGGGCCTACCAGGCCCATAATTAACAATGGGTCAGGCTCTTACAGTTCTATTCTGTAATTCTCCCATTCTCTCGGTTATCTTGTCTGTGGGCCGGTGGCTGGATCGGCGAAGCAAGTTCCACACTATTGCCGTCGACCACGAGCCAGTACCAGCTTCTCCCCGCTCTTTCGTCGGCGTTCTTGCTTCTTGTTCACGGTGTGAAATCTCATCTGCTGTACGTCGGTTCCCTTTCTGGAAATATTGGAGAACGTAGTTTGATCCGAGGTTTGGGATTGTCTTTTGCGTAAAAGCATCTGATTGTGGTTTTATCCATTTTGGTTTATATATATATATGCTCCCTTAACCCTGGAAATTGAAATTCTGATATACAGATATTCTTCAACTTGGTGCTGAATTGTTTAGACCTGGGAGGCTTTATAAATCTTCTAGCGAAGTTTAGAAAATGGTCGGTAACCCTTTTCTTTTTTTCTTCTTTTGCTTGCATCCATGCGACGTTTAGGTTTCAGCACTTTCCTTTGTGCGCTGGTTTATTTTAGTTCTTACGTTCTTGCGTGTAAACTCAAATTGACCTATCTAGGAATTGTGGACTTTGGAGTGTGCTATTAAATCTGTCGCTTAATTCTTTATCAGCTGCTAATTTTGTGTTTCTAATCGTTCTTCCTTGAATTATAGAGTTTCTCAAGAGATAGCTTGTTCTGCCTACAGGGAGCATGTATATAAGAATTTTCTGAGTTAGCTTATAATTTATATGGTTGGTAAAGGAGAACTTGATTACTTTCTCTCTCGGATGTAATTTATTAAACTAATGACCAAGTTTTGAATCGTTACACTTCTTTTCTACTTTATTTCATACATTCATTAGGTTTTTAAACTTGCTATTGTGCTTCTTCTTTCAAATGTTCTTTAAGATCTATCTTGAAAATGTGAGTTATCTTGTCTATTAATTGTCATATTATTTTCTTCTGTTTGTAGGCTACTTTGGCTGATTCTTTTCTAGCAGATCTTGATGAACTCTCTGATGAAGACAATTTTCTGGTTAGCAAATGTTTTCTTACCTTTCTCTCTGGAAGATCAATTCATCATTATTTTGCTTGGTAGGAGTGTGAATCCATCTACCTTATATTTTGAGGCAATAGTTATTGGATGATTACAGGATGAAGAAGATGCTGATGCCGAAAATATGGAAGAGGATATTGATGGGGATCTTGCAGATCTAGAAAGCCTTAATTATGATGATCTGGATAGTGTATCAAAATTGCAGAAAACACAGAGATACAATGATATTATGCAGGTTAGTTTACATGAAAGTTTCCTTATTGACCTTGGTGTGGCTTGAATAGAAAGGGGTTAGAAGAGAGGCAATGAATATATTCAATCCTTGCTGTCTTGTCTATTATTCTAACCTTTTAGTGAGTGATAGGTTTTGGGATGTTGTATAATTATTGGATCTTTTGCAATATATCTCTCATGAATAATGATGTTCACTGCACTTCCCCCTCGATTTGATTGGATTTGTTGGCATCTGAATTACAGAAAGTGGCAGATGCATTGGAGATGGATTCTAATGTCTCAAATCAGGGATTTGTATTAGAAGATGATCCTGAGTACCAACTGATTGTAGAGTGTAATGCCTTGTCAGTGGATATTGAGAATGAGATTATTATTATTCACAATTTTATACGTGATAAATATCGACTAAAATTTCCAGAGCTTGAATCACTTGTGCACCATCCAATCGATTATGCTCGAGTTGTTAAGAAGATTGGGAATGAAATGGATTTGACTCTTGTAGATTTAGAAGGGCTTTTACCCTCTGCTGTCATTATGGTTGTCTCTGTTACAGCATCTACCACAAGTGGCAAGCCACTTCCGGAGGAAATTCTCCAGAAAACAATTGATGCATGTGATCGAGCTCTTACTTTAGATTCAGCAAAGAAAATGGTCCTTAATTTTGTTGAAAGTAGAATGGGATATATTGCACCAAATCTTTCAGCGATAGTTGGAAGTGCTGTTGCAGCAAAACTAATGGGAACTGCTGGTGGCCTTGTTGCCTTAGCTAAGATGCCTGCTTGCAATGTTCAGCTTCTTGGTGCAAAGAAAAAAAACCTTGCTGGGTTTTCCACAGCGACCTCACAATTTCGAGTAGGTTATATTGAGCAAACAGAGATATTCCAATCAACACCTCCTCCTTTGAAGATGCGTGCTTGTCGACTCATAGCGGCGAAGTCAACACTTGCAGCACGAGTTGACTCCACCAGGGGTGACCCTACAGGGAAGACGGGTAGAGTCTTCAAAGATGAGATCCTTAAGAAAATTGAGAAGTGGCAAGAACCTCCACCTGCAAAACAACCAAAACCTCTTCCTGTCCCTGATTCTGAACCCAAAAAGAAGAGAGGTGGCCGTCGATTAAGGAAGATGAAGGAAAGGTATATGTTACATTTGTCTTTCATCTCTCTAGCAATAGAAGCTTTGATCTGTTGCACTTTTCCGTTGTTCATGGATTGATATGGATTTCCTTGTCAGGTATGCAACGACGGAGATGAGGAAGCTAGCTAACAGGATGCAGTTTGGGGTGCCTGAAGAGAGTTCTTTAGGTAAAACATTCTTTCATTTCTGAATAATCTGGATTGATCAAATTGATAGTTTTTCTTCTGCTACGTTTTGTGTTACGCATTGGAATGAGATGCAATGTTATGCTGTTCAGCAAGTTTGAGTTGTCATGTTGTCTGGTGAACCAGAAAATTTTCTGAATTGCAATAGTAACATCATAGCCGTCTTGAGTCTGTCCTATTACAGGATTATTTCTTATCAAACGTAGTTACATTTTTGTCTGCATACCAGCTGTTTCTTACAATTGTCCTGAACGGAAAAAGTAGTTGCTTGAGGTATTCTGCTGTAATATTCTGAATAAGCATTTCACTTCTTGATT